AGAGAAGAAATTATGACAAACCGTATTCTTAGTAAATAATTGTATGCCATTTTCTATTCTTTTCTACTACACACAGTACATATTCAGTTGATACAGAACTCATGGTGAAGGTTTAGTGTCTCATCCTTGGATGGTCACACCGAATGCCCTGATAATTTGGGTTTTCTTCATTAGTAGGCATTCTGTAGGCATTATCAGATTCCCTCTGCCAAGAAATGTTCTCCACTTGAGGAAATACTTCTTAAAAAAATAATTTCAATTGACTGTGAAATGGCTCCCTGCCTTGGTAGTGGTAAATCATAGGCAATATTTTTTTTCCCCATTGAGACCTGCAAAATATAGCAGAAATACGAAGACAATTAGTAAAAACTTGCTAAGAGTACTGTGTTTCCTGCTTCTGTTGTTCAAGCAAACCATTTTTTGTTCTCAGGTTGAGTTATCAGACAGTTGTTCTAATACTGGCAAGAATGGTACTGAGGGTCTCCCTCTATGTTCACAATGCCAATTCAATTGATAGTTTATTTCATGTCCCAAGAAAGGCTTTTACAGTTTAGAGAGTTAACTGGTGGTAGGCTTCTGAGTTTGGACATTTCTGTTTACAACTATAGGAGAATAGTGATAGTTTGACAATCAGTGCTGCTCAGGAAACTCATGAGATCTATAACATTTCCTACAAATTAATCTGCTTTTATGTCTTGTGAAGATGTAAAACTTGAATTGGAGAGGTATTTATCTGTATGAGGCTTATATAAAAATAATATCTACACTATAAAAATTGCCATATTTAAGCTTGGCTGTTAGGCAAATTTAGGGAACAGCTAACAACTTCATTAAATTCCTCTTCTAGCTTTGATCTGTTGTGTTGCATAATGAGATGAATACATATGGCTAATTTTGCATGTGTGTTCTTCCCACGTATGCAGTGTTATGTCAGTCCCAGGATATTAGAGAGACACGGTGGGTGAGGTAATATCTTTTATTTGACTGATTTCTGTTGATGAGAGACAAGTGACATTTACAAGGGAGCTGAGGTGGGAGAGGCCAGTTTTCGTTTTTAGCCTCAAGCTTCGAGGCACCAGTGAGCCAATGCGGACAGAATTGTAAAATTCAGGTCAGATTATGTCATTAGTTATCCTCTGTGGAACAAACAACCAAAAAATGTTTTTGGCATTTCAGTTGCCAAAATATTTAGCACAACTATATTTTTGTGTCATAGTTTTGAGACCCAATTAGGTCTTACACAAACTAACTTAGTGTCTTTTCCCTTGTAGCCAGCACTAAAGTTAATAAAGTTAATCAAAACATAGTTTAATATGAGAAGTTCTGAAGCATTTCAATAAGTGGAATTAGGGGGAAAATCTTCCTTTATCTTTATACTGGGTTTTATTTGAATAGTGTTATAATTTAATTTTCTTTTTTTTTTACCAAAATGTTAACCATTGACAGTAGTTATCATATTTTGGCATTGGAGATATCACAGTATTTCCTAATATTAAGAAATAAGATTTAGCTTTTGGTATCTTAGATACACTTGTGGAGTTACTGTTGGCAAATGTTGGCTTTTTTAATGGCAAACTCTATAAGTGAAACGGTAGGTCTTAAAAAGAGCCATATTGACACTTCTGTAGACTGAAGTCTTGTACTTCAATTCTTAGATAATCTCCATTGATGCATTTTATATTATGTGTACTATTATTATTATGTATTACCAGAGAGCCTGTTTCCCTGGTCATGAACCAGTACACCATTGTGCTAGTTGGTGTACAAATACGGCTAGATCTAAGACAACTAAGAAATGAAATAGAAAAAATAACTCTGTTCATTGTTGAAGAAGTTGATTTAAGCCAATTTGCATTTTGACAGATATTTATTTCCTTATCTCTTTGGGGAATTTGCATAGGTAATTCAGACAAAATAAATTTTAAGAAGAACCACTGAGTTAAATGCAATCCCGATCAGACTGTAAAAGTCAAAATATTACCCTTCTGGTTAAAATACCTCACTACTGTTATGGCACATCTAAGGGCTTGTCTTCACTACTGTGCTAAATCGGCACCACTGCAATTGATGCAGCGACATCGATTTAGCGGGTTTGGTGAAGACATGATAAATCTATTGAAAGAGCACTTTCCCATTGACATAATTAATCCACCTCAACGAGAGGCAGAAGCTATGTAAACGGGAGAGCATCTCCCACCAACGTAGCATGGTGTAGACGCCGCATTAAATCAATGAAGTTTTGTTGCTCAGCTAATTGATTGTTTTACACCCCTGAGCGACGTAACTGACGTCGACTTAAGCAGTTGTGTAGACAAGGCCCTAGATATACAACCGTTTTTGTCATAGAGGACCTGAGTAATTTGGTGATTGGAGTACTTCATACAAATGTCTTCTCAATATAACCAACTACTATAACATGTAAACCTTTGCAGAAACTGAAGGTTTTTTTAATTTTACACATATCCCAACTTTAATGAGTAACAGGATATAATACTTACCCTGGAACCATATCTTTGAGTCCTCTTTGAGAATCCATATCTTACTCAGTGGGATATTGGATACTTACACTCCACCTGGGAGATATGGAAAGTAAGTAAAACTTGGCAATGTAGTATAGTGGATAGAGCCATGCACTGGGACTCAAGAGATCAGGGTTCTATTCCTGGCTAAGCCACTGGTTTGCTGGGTAGCCTTGGACAAATCACTTGTCCCTGTGTTTCAGTTTCGCCATCTCTTTGTAAAGCCCTTGAGATCTATTGATGAGAAAAGTGCTATAGAAGAGCTAGGTATTATTTTATCCAAGTTGTTAGTTCACAGTTCATACTACATTTCCCTGTGCCATTATGTCATTAATGGCCTCTGATATCTACTTTAAAGACTGATGACAACATCTGGTTCTAGTATCTCCATCTTTCTCATGTATATGCACTAAAAGTAATAGCAAAGTATACTAAAATGCTATTTTTAATATTCAGAATAGCACACAGTCAAAATAGGAGTGAACAGCATACCAGCAGCTTACCATATGAACAGACAGTGGGAAACTTAATTCTTGTGTTCCTCAATTCTGGATATAGTGATTATTTACATATGTAGCTGCCAGCAGTCCCAGTGCCATACTTCAAGAGTAGTTTCAAACACATTCAGAGTATGGGTATTTTAATTTCTAAGTCGAAGTTACAGAACACAAACTGCAAGAAATGTCTTCTGGATGTGAAGTACTCAGTGGTATTGGATCCATTTACAACTTGCTGCAAACACCTTGTCTCAAGAATCAGCTTCTTGGAAACCATGACATGTATGCCATGACAACATATTGGCTATCTTTGAAGTAATGTGACCTACAATCTTGAAAACCAGATTTAGGCACAGACTAATTGAAGTCTAACTGGAAGTAATTTATTGGTCTCCTTCTGACTAGGGGTCCAATCCTGTAAAGTACTAAATCTCTCTTGTGAGGTGTACTGAGCTATCTTAACTCTCATGGAAATCAGCATCTTGTTTTGGGCCCTGTGAAAGTATGCTTGGTACATGCTAGTAAAAATGACAACCCCGTGCTCTCAGAATATGGATAGATGAAAAATATGAATACATTTCCCCTTTCTCCAAATTTCAGGATCATAGCCACCAGTGTATGAAAGAAATAATGTGGAAAAAAATCCTACATCTCTTCTTTTTTCGAATTGCATAGTCTGTAAGAAAGGAGATAAAAGTTTCATAGAGATGATTTACCTCGTAGGTTAGAAAAGTGTTTTAACCAGTATAGCTGCACATAATCCACAACTGTAGATTATCTGGCATATCTCTTTTCACAGAAATTACATCCTGTCAAAGGTACACCTGACAGCAACTCCATTAGGGTTTTCAGAATTAGTGTTCATTTTATTTCTTTTGGTTTATATAAAAAAAACTCTTAACCAAGAAATCAGGGCTTTAACATAATTTAAATGCACAGCCATTGAAAAAACAAAGATATTAGTCACACAGCTACACTATTTTTTAAACACATATGCAGAAAAACTAAACTTGCATCTTTCTGAAATCTTAATTCAGTATTCAAATTAAACTCTTGGGCTCTGAAAACTCATGCATATAATTACAGTATTTATAACTGCTGAATCTGCCAGAATTGAGTTAGAGTGAATACTTCAATCTTTTTGTGGGGGGGATGTCAAAGGACTTTTAAGACTAACAGCTCCTTCACTTCTAAAACTATGGATTTGAGTGTCATTTTCAAAATGTGTTTATGAGCTCTACTCAAGTACCATAAATAAGAATCCAGTTAAACAATAGCAACTGGTTATCAAGAGAGCAATACATTTCTCTGTTAGTTGTAAAATGTTTTAAGAAGTGATATAGATTATTTTCTAAATAACACTGTGGGTAAATTCTTGTAAACTGAGGCATATTAGCATTCAGCAAAATGCCAGGCATTGCTTTGACAGTACAGTAGCCAGAAATATTCTAACATTCTCCCCTGCATAGGAGCATCATGGAGCCAGTTACAGCTCCCTGACCCTGTGGGCCAGTCTATGCTAGCCCTACTGAACCTTACACCCATAAAGCTAGATCTAGCAATCACAGACTTTTGTTCTATTATGTCCTTTATACTGGGATAGGAGTGACTGGAGCAGGCTTTATGCCAGCAGTAAGATACCATCTACCATGGAATTCCAAGTGGTTCTGAGCAGAACAACAGGGTTGAATCATATTCTAGAATCTGGCCTGTTAATTATTGGAAGTAATTTTCCTGTCAACTTATTGTAAGCCTTTGATATCATATACTATTAACTCATTTCGCTAGAGATAGTAATAATAATAATAATTAATAATTCTTGTACTGGAACAGGTTAATCAAAAAAGTTTGTGAAGTTATTTCATGGGCATCCTGCTGTACTTACAACATAGTTTACCTGAGCTCATCTTTTTTTTCTCTGATGTCCTGGTAGTTCTGTTCTTTACTTATCCTACCCTTTTTCACCTTATTTCTGTTCTTAAAGATCTTCCATTGTGGGCAAAATGGAACTGAGGAGGAAACAAAAACATGAGTGTGTAGCTGTTGCAGCAGTGTCTGTTCCTTTGTTGATGGAGCTCCCTCAGTGCACACCTCCTTTCCTTTTTCTCTCTATGACAGTGATGGTGAACCTTCTTGAATCAGAGGGCCACAAGTTAAATTTTTCTAGTTATTGGATGCAGACTTTAGAAGGGCTTCAGTTGTGTTAAATCTTTCCCCTTTCTAGCTTTCACTCTTCTTCCCTATTCTACCTTTCTCACCTAATCTATTCCTCTCCTTGAAATTTTTCCCCTTTCAGTTATTTCTTCCTGGTCTTTCCCTTCCTTTCCTTTCAGTCTACTGTTATCTGTCTCATTCTGGCCCTGCCTCTCTTGACATCTGACATCAACTGGATTACGTCAGCTATCTCCACTGCTGATCATCACTTCTACCAAGGCTCAGAACTCCATTTGTGGCACAGCCAACAGAAATGGCATCAAATGCCATAGAGGTTCATCATCACTGTTCTAGGAGATGAGTGAAGTTGAGCCCTCAGTGAGAGAATCACTCTGGCCTTATAGCATAAGTTTCAGCCCAATTAAAGGAGGGAACTGCGGACCAAAGCTTGATGTCTTGACCCGAAAAGGACTATCTAATGCCATGTCATTGGGCGAGCTTCATCAAGGAGGGAAAGGAAGTACTGCAAACGTGAGTAAATCTTGTTTATTTGGGTTTTATTGTGCAGTGTTTTGCTTCTTATGTGAACTGAAAAGCTTTTAGTTAGATGTATGTCAGATTACGTGTTGACTTAAAAATTGCCACAATCGGACTCATTGTTCTGTTCTTCCTGCAGCAGCTGATGACATTGCTAACACCTGAAAGGAGAACATCCTTGCACTCCTTAGGTGCACGTGATACCATCAGCTCTTGCAGGTGGACCCAGAATCCTGAACTCTGATTTTAGCACATAAGTAAAGGTGGAATTTTTGCATGTATTTTCTTTTAAAATGTAAATGTATTTATAATTTTGAAGTCTGCACATAATGTTGAGATACTGCCTTGCAAGCCAACACGTACAATTATTCACAAAATCTTCAATTTTCAGTTATTGTATGGACAGTTGAACTTTTTTCTCAGTTTTTAAATTTCTTGGACTCCCATACAAATAGTGGTATGCATTTGTAACATTTAATTGTTTTTGCAATAATTCCCTCATTTATCATTTTAAGAGCTAGATGTTAACTAGCTTTGTCACATTCTTTCCTTCACTCTGTCTTAAATCTTCAGTATTGTGCACATATTTGAAATTATGCAAATACCCCAAGTCATATGAGAGTTGGAGCTTGTTTATTCACTAGCCATATACTATGTGCCCAAACTCCAGCCTGCAACTCAGATTGAGGGATTTCCTTACCAAATTTGGGATCATGCGTGTGCATATATAATTCTTTCTAACTTAAAAATTGTAACTTTCAAAAATATATGATCATTTTTTATGGTGGTTTTTTACCCTGGCAGCCAAGTGGTTTTTCTCGCTTTATCTTTTGGAGGCTTCCTTGTAATCCTTCGAATTTTCTGTCCACTGCCAAAAGCCGGGATGCATGATGTCATTCTCACTAGATTGTTTTCTCAGTTGTCCAGCAGTATAGCAAATTTTTTTCTTACTCTAAAAGCAAAGCATATTATCTCTGTTAAGTGTGTACTCAATTAAAAAAAGCAGAGCCCTGAAATTGCCTAAAGCATATATTCCACATGGCACCAAATTAACACATCATCATTCTTTATTATCTTTGTAGAGATTTTAATTTTTTTAAATCTTTTTTTTTACCTCAATCATTTAAAAATTTAGACTTATTTTTTCTAATACTGAGCCAATTATTGGGATAGTCTTCTGTAACTCATCTTTATTTCCACTTGCTGGATTGCTTGTCTTTTCACATGTGATTTAAGAACCCAAACAGAATTCTCTGGGATTTTTCCACAGGAAATAAAGGGTTGTATATATTTTGACACACATACAATATGCATTCTCAGTTTCTAATCAGTGATTCTTTTCCTGGTGGTTTGTTAAAATTTCTACTGTCCTGCCTTAATTAATGAAAGGTTTTTCTGTAAGATACCTTAGTGCATCAGTTTGTCTTTAACTGCTAACTAATATTTACAGCCTGGTATTTACCACTGGATCACGTTCTTAATGCTTAGTATAAAGAACCTCTTCATTTTTGTGATAGCAAAACCAAGATGCTTGATTAGCAGTTCTGCTAACCAAGATGTCAAGGTAACCCAGTGGTTTCATAATGTGTTATGAAGCTAAAATACTATCTCAGAAGGACTCTCAAAAATAATGATTTTCTGTCTTTGAGAATATTATGACACCTTGCATCTGGAAATGTTTGCATAGATCACAATAAGATTTTTACTGTCTTTTATGTGCCACTGGCAATAATTATAGTTTCAAATGTGAAAGGCCTGTGTTGTCATCCTGTGGACCGATCTCCCGCCGCAGGAGAATAGCAATTCTAGTGGAGTTACTCTGGGAGAATTGGACCCCAGGTTTATGTGATCCTAATTTTAAAGGAACGTAATTGTAAGATCTGCTGGGATGTCTGGTATTCAGGAAATAAATGAATGACCTGTCTTCAAAACTGGAGCAAACCAGTGAAATGTCAAGAAATGCTAATACTCGATGCTACATCTGTTGTTGTTGTGTACCTTCTATTAAATTCAAGTCTACTACGGGTCATCTGTCCTCTCGTCCGTGCCCTGATCTTTCCTTGATTTTCATAAGGAATTATTCGTTTCCTGTCATTTGTATATTAGATAGCTATTTTTCCCAGAAAAGGGCTAGGACAAATACTAATACTAATCTAACAGAATGTTTTTAAAAGGGCAGCTGTCTTTAAGACTTTTGATATCTGTGACACAGTGTAATCATTTTCCCAATTGGTGCTCTACTTGCTCTGTAAATGCTTTCAAATCTGTAGACGTCTGTGTTTCCAATATTTTCAGTCTTACTAAATAAATCATTGTCAATTTAGAATCCCAATTTAGTATGTAAAGAGCATTTATTTTGGTTATTGGGAAATACTGGGACTAATAAAGCAATGAGGACTGTTAAAAACTTGACAGCATGCCATGCCCAATGGAAATACATCATAGACTTTCATAGGCTCCAGCAAGGAAAATGTAAAATAATTTGACAACTTCTGACAGCTTACTAGGGATGCAAGTAGTAGAAAAGGTCTTGTACGAATAATTTAGTTGCTATATTTAAGGAAGGAACAAAGGATTGTTCAAGGAAGTGTAGACTTATAATTTCATTTGTAAAAAAGTGTCTGTGAAATCATTACTAAAAGGAGAAATAGGAGGCATAATATATGTCGATTTCTTCTAAGCATTTAATACTTTGTAATGAATGAGATACAGTTTGGTCAAAAAAATGGAATGTTGAAATCAAAAAGTTGAAATTTGCTTAGGGAAGGAAATAGGAAAGTTTCAGGGGAAAATAAAACTGCTTAAGGTACATTGCAGTGCCCTACTGAAGTTTCTGTATTAGAATCACTTATTTACTTTCAGACAGAAATTCTGTTAGGGCATTCTTTATGAAAATGTAAACATTTGTTGCTGAAACACAACACAAAAGCAGTGGATTAAAAAAGGAATAAAGATTTGTAAAGGATTAAATGAATTTGGAGTGTGGTTTTATGGACTTGCAGTAGCTCATGAATTTCCATGTTCAAACAGCAGCGAAGCAGGGAACCAAACTCCTAGCCTATGTAAAAGACATGGTACACTGCAGAGAATGGATATTGGAGATAGGGTGATAGCTAGATAGTACATTAAAATATTTACATAATGTTGAGCAGCAGCATAAGAGATAAAGATTGTTTCAGGATCATGTGTAGATATGGAGCATAAATGGACAGGAATTATTCTGGCTGTATATACTGTGCTGACACAATAATTACATAGTTACTATTCAACGTCTCAAGAGATTTCTCAGTAAATCTTATAATATCATATGCTAATTCTATTTTATCCCATTAAATAAAATATTTTGCAGTAAATCTCACTGTAATTCTCATAATACCTGTAACTGTGCCGTTTGTCACCATTATCCCATATTATTAGTAAGACTACATTTAGAATACTGTGTAAATCAAATGATTTTATTACAGTTAGGATGATGCTAAAGCTGAAAAGGTTCAGCATACGATTCAAGATTCAAAATTGGAGTGAGATTAATCAGATTTGCCAATTTTGCTGTCTAGCTATAGATAGATTTATACACTGTGTAAGTCTAGCTACAGATATATTCTGTGTGTGTATGTATTATATATCTTAGAAAAAATAATTATGAGTACATCTGATAGTAACGAGGTCCATAAATGAAATAATCTGTTTAAGGTACTTACTTGTTTAAAATCTAATTCTCACATTTACTTATGCTGAGTAGTAGTAGCTTACTCCATGAGTAATCACGTAGAAAACAGTGGGAGTGTTCACACATTCAAATGTTACTCAGCAAGTTTAAAGCTGACAGATTTGGACCACCAGAAAAAAGAGGAAAATGGCTTATTATTCATTGAGGTGGAATACTCTTCTGTTGCAATATATATTTTTGTAAAAATCCCTAAATCACTAATAGAAGTACAAGTTTAAATCCATGGAAAAGGAAAATGTCTTATTTATTGTTTTTGTTGTTGTTTTTTAGAATGAGAGACTGGAATTTAGAGGGAGTCTAGTAATCCATGTCCTTATCAAAGTAGAATTTTTCCTACATTATGATGTTAAGTGCTAAATCTTGAGTGCTACAGTTTTCCCAGTGCTGTCACTGGCAGGCCATTTTACAGGCTTGGATAGATGTCACTATTAGGAAGTATTTCATTATATCCAACCTATATTTTCCTTTGATCACTTTAGGCCACTACTACCATGATATTCTCCTATAAATCAGCCAAAACAAGTTATCACCTTCTTTGGGGTTCACACTTTTTAGATACTTGCAGATGATGATAATGTGTCAGAATCTGTGAATACTGATATGTAATAATTAGGGCTGTCAAGCAATTAAAAATTATTTGTGATTGATTGTGCAATTAAAAAATAGTAGAATACCATTTAAAATTTTTTGGATGTTTTCTACATTTTAAAATATATTGATTTCAATTACAACACAGAATGCAAAGTGTACAGTGCTCACTTTATATTTATTGTTTGTTACAAATATTTGTGTGGTAAAAAAACAAAAGAAATCATATTTTTCAGTTCACCCTGTATAAGTATTTTAATACAATCTCTCTATCATGAAAGTTGAACTTAAAAATGTAGAATTCTGTACCAAAAAAAACCTGCATTCAAACATAAAACAATCTAAAACCTGAGCCTACAAGTCCACTCAGTCCTACTTCTTGTGCAGCCAATCACTTGAACAAGTTTGTTTACATTTGCAGGAAATAATGCTGCCCACTTCTTGTTTCAATGTCACCAGAACGTGAGAGTAGATGTTCTCATGGCACTGTTTTAGCTGGTGTCGCAAGATATTTATGTTCCAGATGCAATAAAGATTCATATCTCCCTTCATTTTCAACCACCATTCCAGAGGACATGCATCCATGCTGATGACTGGTTCTGCTCGATAACTATTCAAAACAGTGCAGACTGACGCATGTTCGCTTTCACCATCGGAGTCAGATACCACTAGCAGA